TATAAAAAGTTAATATTATGTTCCTTGTATTTGCAATACAATTTCAGCAGAAATGCTTAAGAAAAATTATGCTAGATGATAATGATTTACAATTACCAAACCGGTAAGACTAGGTAGGACTAGATCTCGAGGATGCTTATAACAGAGTGAGATACGACATCTTAATGACTGCACTGAGGGAGAAGGAGGTCAATCCATGGCTGGTGAATTGGGTTGCAGCTGTCCTGTATTCACATCAGGTTGCTCTCCGACTGGACCTCTGAACCATGCACTTTGGCCCCAGGACTGCCACAGGGATCCGCCATCTCGCCTGTGCTCTTCAACGTGTATACGGGCAAGATTGCAAGCCTAGAAGCACCAGGAGTTGGAAGGATACTGACTTTTTCTGATGATATACTTACATATAGGCAGGGGGAAGAGAGGGAACAAACAGCTCGGGAGCTACAAGTGACAGTAGACAAAGTGACTGAGTGGTGTACAGAAATGAAGGCTATCGTCCACCCGGAAAAGGCGTCTGTTTTGTGGTGTTCTCTGGACAACGGAATCGTTAAAACTAATGTCCCAAGTCTCACGATAGATGGTAGAGACGTCAACAGAGAGAGCAAACTGAAGTATCTGGGAATTACATTTGACAGGAGCCTGTCATTTAAGGACCATGAGGAGAGTGTTGTGACAAGATGCCAAAAAGGACTTGGTGCACTTAAGTCTATGGCTGCAATTGACGTAGAGCAGAGAATGCTTTTCACACTATATCAGCACCTGATCCTGTCAGTGGTGGATTATGGCCTGGGACTGCTTACCGTCTCAAGAGTCAGATGGACAAACTAGAGCGCATACAGAACGCGGCTATGCGGGTCATTCTGGGTTGCACCAGAGACACCCCAGTCGTGTGTATGCGATACATCCTTGGTTTGCCGACGGTTGCAGGTAGGCACAAGGTGATGCAGGCGAAGTCATATCTCAGGGTAGCTGTAGACACAGACCACCCTCTGCATAAAGCTCTGGGTGCAGTTAAGGGTCAGCGGCTGATAAGAGGGAGGTCATGGAGGGCTCAGGCAGAAGACACAATCAGACAGGTTTGCATCCTTGAGAACATTAGGCGAGGAGAGGAGTGGGTCAAAGTGCCACCTGAGCAGTCAGACTTGTGTAGAGTCATAATCACGCTGAGCCGGGATTTGCAGAGACTGGCCAGCAGGTGCCACAGAGGTGGAAATTCAGCAATTAATTCAAGATAATGTTCGCTCAGAGGATTTGATCATTTACACAGACGGTTCAGTGTCAAGAGGCAAAAGAAGTGCTTGGGGCTTTTTAGCAAAAGTTAATGGTCGACGTTTGGTGCAGGAGAGCCTAGCATATGATACCACAACATCCAGCTTAAGAATGGAGGTGGAGGCGGTCACTGCAGCTTTCCGCTGGCTAGAGAACACGACACACACACACATTGTAATTGTAACTGATTCAGAAAGCATGCTGAGGAAGATCAGAACAGGTATGCTTCGTGCAGAGTGGCATGCTTCGCTGCGGAGGACACGAGTGACGAGCACTGTCTGGATTTTTTCACCGTGTCACGTCGGTGTGTTGGGAAATGAACAGTGGACGGACTGGCTGGCTCTGCACAACTTGGTGGAATACTGCTACATGATAGGGCAGACGTGGTTAGTGCCTTGTGGGAGAGCGTGTACAATGCGGAGGAGCAGATTGATCACCACAGTCTTGTGAGATTGATGCAGTTGGGGGTGACGACAAGTTCTGGCAGAATCTCAAGTCAAGGCTCAGAGGAAAGGCAAGACGGACGTTTAATCAGAAAGCTACTGGCACCATTAGTATCGGAACTCTTCGCTGGCTGCTGAAGATTGGGACGGAGTGCTTATGGGAATGCCCCGAGTGCTGTGATGTCGGTTCTTGAATCAAATCAAATCAAATCAAATCAATTACCAAACCGTAGTGATAGCTAGAGCTCTTCTGTCCAAAAAGTTCATAAATCCTCGGAGTTGTGGACGATTCTACTGACGTCGCCGGCAGCTGGTTTAGGACTCTACTTGTGGTGCAATAATACAAGTTCTGTCTTATAATGCATACTGAATTTTCAGTTTCATCTGTAGCCATTATTGCCACCACTTTCACTTCTGCCTCAGCGATTTAAAGAAGGTACTAACATCACACAGCCGTGTTAACTGTGTATTTGCTGATTATGTAACGTTTTAATTTTATCATCGACTGGTCACTTGACCGATTCCTGATCATTCAGTCACTTTCTTCAGTCAGTTTCAGTTTTTCGAAGGCTATCATTATTCTATAATCATAATCATTTATCCTCCTATGTTGCCATATTTGTTCATAAATAAGGGGGAAAATGAATTTTAAAAAAATGATATCTGCATTTATACTTCTCAGTGAAAGTAAATGAATAATGAATTACATACAGACAGAAGGCAGCAGTGCAGGCAGAGAGTCAGAGATGCCAAATCAAATCAGTTGAGCTTGAGTTGGTGACTTGGTACTTGGTCACTGTAAGTGTAAGGCATAAGAATTCGAACCAAACAGTAAACTCAATTACATTATAGATTGCACAGTGTATTGCCTGTCATATTTCGTTAAATCTCGTCAGGTGCATACTTAAGTAACAAATAATTAAAATGAAGCAAACAAGTTTACCCCAGTGAAACGGACAGTTTTTGAATGTAGTTTAAGTTTAAGTTAGTTGTAGTTAAGTCGATTGTAGTGTGCGTTTTAGTTCAAAGTATTCATTCTTCTTCTTTTGTTTGCCTGAAATAAATAAGTTGTCTGTATCAGTAGTTTTGTCTCTTGTATAAATAAAGGATTCATTTATTTGCTACATTTTAATCAATTGTTACTGTACAATTCAAATTATGCAATCTATTGTTTGCGTTTTTGTTCCAGTTAACAACGGGAAACACTGCTCTAAATTAAATTAATCATTGGGATGAATGAATGTGGATCCAAATTAAAAATCATTTATTATTCTTTTTACTGATATCTCTCATCATTTCTGACAAAAGTCACCATTTCAAGCTCTGTCACAGGACAGTCCAGTATTTTCGAGGGTGGTAAGACTGGCTTTCTCAACCCGGCTCTCTGTGTTTTTTGTTTCCTGGCTTTCTGTGAGTCTTCCAAAGTGTTTTCGCACGTTTCTTCTTCCGGCACTCCAGCAGCTTGTGTTCAGTCTTCATTGCCATGAATTTCATTGAATAAGCAGCATCAACGCCTGACAAGAAGAGCAGCGTTGCTTTCCTGCAACATCATGGCATTCTGCAAAGTACCAGAGGTTGTGGCAACAATCTTGCAATTGTGTAATCGCTGACCAAAAGCCACGACCGATGGCAGTGTGGAGGGTGGACCTGTTGTCTTTAAGGCAAGGAACATGGCTGGAAGGGTTGCGCCTGCCTTACAGACAGATCATTCTCATTCAAGAGAAAGCAGATCAAAGGTTCGGGCATGTGTCAAAATTATCTCAAAATAGTGCACTACAGAGATCCCTGTCTCTTAGACTCATGGAAATCATAAATATAGGTTACCGGTGGAAGTTATGGATATATGGCATATCCAAGACCTTGAAGACCATCATCTAAATAGCACACTAAGACATGTACCAAATGACCTTCTAAAAATAATGCTGGAAGGCAGAACAGGAGTAGAGAAAAAGAAAAACGATACACCAGTAATTCCTTCCCACAACAGTCCTGTTAAGCCTGCTGTTTTCATCTGCATACTATAAAAGACGTTGCTAAGAAAGGCCTAATTGGTTCATTATTTGTGCCCTCAGACAGTAGTCTGGTGACCCACTGTAAGCACACTAAAGAACAACAATCAATGCATGCTTTATTTTATGTTAACCATGAGAACATCATATTTGCAACGCTCATCTGTCATTACCTCCTGGTCAACTAAAATAATTTTTTTAACCCATCATAAAATTGTTTCCACTGCATTCTATATGGAAAAAACATATCAACCTTTTTGCAGGCAATATTTCCAAATGTATATATTTTTTCCAGACAGTTCTCTAGTTAAAAAAAAAAAAAATCTCACATCATGTTGTTCTCCAGTGGGGAAGTTTTCAAGTATGGCCAACATTTTCATCAACATAAGCATGCAAAACTTTGGGCAGCCACATGTAAGAAATAGCATCTGCTATGCATAAACAGTGGGTCTTTTTTGTTTTCCCCACAGTGGGGCCCTGGAATTCACACTGAGAGGTGTGGAGTTTAATTCAGAACCCTTTGGGCTAGCAAGCCAGCATTTAGCCACTGCGCCACCACACTTCTCTCATGCTTTTGTAGTCTTGCTTTATAAAATACTTTGCATTTGCATGCTGTACCGAAAACAAATTACGTAATTACTGTAATTAAAATAAAATTAGCACAAGCAATTACACAACCACATCTACACACAGTTCAAGATAGGCATATCAGCCCATGTTTACTCAGCCACAAACATGTTTACCCATGGAAACACACCCCAGACAGCAGAACATGTACTCCAAGACTGCACCGAATTTGACACATTAAAGCAAACTATGGGCCACTGAAAGAACTAAAAATACAGTGAAATTTGTATGAGAGACAAAACTGCTGATATAGACAACTTATTTCAGATAAATGAAAAAGAAGGAGAAAAAGAAGAATAAAATATATATGTAAAAAAATAAATTGTATATTGTAATATTAATTTAGGTTTCAATTCTCATTTCAGGATCCACCGAACAATTATGGCGTACTGAAATGTTGCGGCATGGGACAGCCCATTAGGGGCCCCCTGTCCGCCTTGGACTTTCTCAGTAGTAAACAGCCTGGCCCAAAAGTTTGACATAAAAGCCATCCTTTGTTAACTTGTAGACTTTGATTTTATCTGGATACAGTCTTGAAAACCTGATTTCTCTGAACAGCATAGATTAACTGACATTTTCACCTAATTGTTTTAGTTAAAACAGGTTTTACCTTTGTTGCACGTTTGTTAAATATTCGATCTCAAAAGCAAAAATGCCTTTGGTGTTATTAGAGAAGGATTGTGGGCCTAAGTGCCGATCACGCAAACATGTTCAGGAGATCATCTCCCTCATATCGCGAGGAAACCTTCCGGAGTTTCAGGCTTATTCCAGTCTGTGCTACAACTGGACCAAACACTCAGATCTGTTTGGCCGGACTGCTTTGCATATTGCAGCCTCTTGTGGGAAGACAAACATTCTGAAGTGGCTTTTGGAGGAGAGGTTAATCGATCTAACAGTGAAAGATTTAGAATCTGGGTATACAGCTCTTCACAGGGCCATGCTGTATGGGCAGCTGACATGTGCTCGTCTCCTTGTGCAGGTAAGGGTCTGTGTTATCCTAATTTTTAAAAATTATTTATTGTAAATTCTTTAGGGATGCAGAGATGCTGAAACACACGTTCCCCATGTGGGTTCTGGGGCCCTCTCGTAGGGAAAACAAGAATAGACCCACTGACCACCCAAAAGTATGTAAGAGTCTCTGATTGGGAGCTTCCTTTGAAGTCAGAGCACATCTGCCTGAGAGGCAAGGAGCCTACAGTTTGCATACCAAATGAGTGAGACCTGTGAAATGGATGTGCACTCAACAATCAAGTTCTAGAACAGGACTAGAGTCCAGAAGGGGACAAACAACCAGAACTTTCTGCCTTAGTTTACAGCCGGTGAACACGAAGATTAAGAAGACGAAGAAGAAGAACCACCACTCATGATGGTGCATCAGCACCAGGGTTCACCCTAGTGATGATCTATCTGCACCTCTCTGTCATCCTAGAAATAGATTCTGCAGCCATATCTACAAGAAATTCAAGATTGGGAATTCAGAAGTTTAGCCCATGTGGACCAAAAAATACTGAACATTTACTAGAGACATGCTCTCTTCATCTTTGGACCCATCAAAGATGCAAACAGCAGTGAATGCAGAGTGAGAAGCAACGATGAAATTCATAATCTGTTTAAATCACTACTGAGCATGAGAGCTAATAGACTGAAATGGCTGGGGCATATTTAAAGAATGTCAGATGACAGAGAAGTAAAAACTGTATGCACGAGGGAGGTGAATGGTCGTAGACCACGAGGCAGACCAAGAAGAGGATGGAGAGGTACTATCCTGACAGAACTGCAAACACTTAGTTTCACCAACTGGAAAGAGAAGGCCAACCAGAGAGATGAATGGAGGCGGGTGATATCTGCAGCAATGAACGGAATGCTGAAGAATAAAAAGAAGAAGAAGATACTCTCTTCAGGTAGTAGAAAGATCACAGGTTTGGCCTGTTGGCATTCCAGTGAAAACCAAGCTGTATGGAACTGTAGAAGATATGCATCATGTCCCAGACTTCATAGAGGCTTGTGGCCTCCTTATCTGATTCAGAAGCGGATGAACAACCATGACTTTCTGCCAGAGTTTAGTGAAGAAGGAGAAGTTATGTCTTTGCTAAATTTATTTTTCTTAAATCCATCTTCTTTCAGTAATTTGAGGGGCGAAAATTCAAATAAAAAAGCAGTTACTGTTTTAGTTTTACATTCGGTAGTTTATTTTTGAGTCTGGTTTGCCAGGTGGGATAGGATCCATCTGGTTAAATACTCATTTAACTGTGACAGGTCTAGCAAGCTGGCAGTGGATTATATCTTCCTTTAAGAAATTAGAAGAGGAATCAGAATGATACTAATGAAATGTCTACAATAAATTCTAAATGTAACTAGAAGAGACAGGATTAGAAATGATGATATCAGGTCAGAAGATGGCACAGAACCAGTGGTAAACTACATCAAGAGACAAGAGATCAAATAGTTTGGACATGTCTCACGACTACTATCAGATAGTGCACCATAGAGAACCCTGTCACTAAGATATTGGAAGCAGAGCTAGAGGTCAGCCATGTAAATTATGTATAAATAGAATATCTGAGGCCAGAAAATACCATTAACTGCTTAACACATACCGAATCTATCACCCGCTGCCTTTTCAATACTTAATGATGAAATGCAAAACAGGACCAGAGAAGAAAAAAAAAAGATGTTTTATTTTTCTTTCTAAAGCTACATTATATGAATGCATGAACATTTATTCTTCTTCTTTAGCATTCCTAGCCCTTGAGGTTCATTGCTGCAGATACCACTCACCTCCACTCCTCTCTGGTTGGCCTTCTCTTTCCAGTTGGTAACAAAAAGTGTTTGCAGGTTTCTCGGGACATTATCTCTCCCTGTTGTCTACAATGTTTACATCTCTCTGTCATCTAATGATAGGTCCAAATGCCAATGATCAGTGGTGATTCATAATACTTTTCCTCTTCTCCCTGCTGTTTACATCTTTGATAGGTCCAAAGATGTGTCATAATACTTTCCTTTCGTTTATGTAAACTCAAATTGTTACATTCAATCTTCATGAGTTAAATCTGTTCACAGTGTAACGCTGATGTCCATGTGCGAGACACAGAAGGGCTGAGCCCTCTAGACATTGCCATGCTTGACAGACCTCCACATGTCCAGTACACAGTTAAAGGTAATCCTCTTAGCAGCTGAAAGTGTTTGTTAGCATATGAACAAAGATGACACAAACAGTAGATTGCACAATTTATTGTGGCAGATATTTTACTAGATTGCACAATTTATTGTGTGGCATATATTTTACTAGATTGCACAATTTATTGTGTGGCATATTTTACTATATTGCACAATTTATTATGTGGCATATTTTACTAGATTGCACAATTTATTGTGTGGCATATATTTTACTAGATTGCACAATTTATTGTGTGGCCTATTTTAGTCTATTTCTTCAGGTGGCATATTACAGTAACACTTAATAAAATGAACTGAATAAATGGATCTTTTGCAACTGCAATACAGAATCAACCACTCTCAAAAGTAACTGTCAGTTTTACCAAACAAAGTGCAGGTTCCCTGCCATGTAAGTCTGTTTACACACATCTTGGCAGAAGTGCTGATCTTTACTATGAACAATTTTCCTCTCTGGTTCTAGAGTTGAGTTGTCTGCATACAAATAAACCAGGTCTGTAAAACATATGTGCATACAAAACACAGGTTCCGCATCAAGACCAAAGTCCAGGAGTCGACGAACAACCAGAAATTTCTATCAGAGTTTATAGCAGATGAGTGCTTAGAAAAAGAAGATTACATCTGTATGAAGTCTTATCTGATTTTTCTGTGTATATCACAATATATCGTAAACAAAGTGCAGATAAAAATATCAAGAGATTAATAAATTATTCATCGATTTCTTGCTTGAATGTCACCAGAACCTAACGAGGTTTACACATGGGGAGAGAATAACAACAGCACTCTAGGACATTCTAGCCCACACAAGAGGACTTCTCCAGAAGCTGTTGATCTGTTTAAGAAAATGGGAGTCTCTATAAAACAGGTAATTATGTTTTTGTTTATTATAAACTTGCGCTTCTGTGTATCTTTGGTTAGGCAGGATATTCATTTGACATTTTGTCTCTTCGCATTCACTAGCTGTAAAGTCCGGCAAAAAGTTCTGGTTGTTTGTCCACCTCTGGACTTTGGTCTTGTTCAACAGCCTGAGTGTCTAGGGGCTTGTACATGCTGTTTGAAACGACACAGCATGAACGAATATTGAGTTCTTTGCTTTTATTCGTTGAATCGCCTGGCAAACATACATTCATGCTTCCTCGTGCTGTATGCTGAATCTAGCGACCTGGTCGGACTTCCCACACACTACAGGAATTTTCAGCGTCTCTGCCTCTCAGGCTGAGATGTACTCCAACTTCGTAAATATGCCCTCACAAAATTAGTGGACACTTATGACATGCTTGTTCACGTCTTCCGTTCACATCTCATGGGACTTCGGAGACACAGTGTGTCTACTTCTCCCGTTTTTCTCTTCTCTCACGGGTCTTGACCTTTTTATCCCACAATGATTCACCCCAGTGTTGGAATCCACACTGACCTGTAAAATCTTGCCTCTTGAGCATTTAGAAACTAAAAGCTTATGACATGCTTGTTGGGGAGGCTATCCCACAATGAGAGACCCCGGAACCCCACACTGAAAATCTTTGAGATTTTCTACCTGGAGTTAGATAACAGTATCTGTCATGACGCAGTCTCCCTTCAATCTCTTCCATCCATCCCCTCCCCACCCCATTTCTTTCTCTCCCTCCCTCTCTCCTTCCTAATCCTCTGCTCCCTTCTGTTTTTCTTTGCAGACGCACAACAGTCATGTGTCTTTCCTGTCATACACATCAGATAACTGCGGTGAATGTCTGCCTTGTATTTTATTCTACTCTAAAAACATATACCTTGCATTTTAGTTTACGTAAAATACAATGTCATATCCTCATAGCATTGTACGTGCTGTGAACATCTTGAACCAGGGTAAGTAAATAAGTAAGTCACAAATGGTTATGGGATGGCAGGAGAATGTAGTTAGTCATTTCTGATAGTGTCATTAAGTGACAGCAACATTGAACTAACTTTATATCTCCGTATGTTTGGCTGCGCTAGATGATGTATGCGCATTCACAACACAGAAACAGAATGGCGACTGTACTTACGGCGTGTGCCCTCAAAGAGCGTGCTGTTGTGCTTTTTGGGGGGCTGGGGGGAAAGGGCTGCCTGCAAAGGACATTTATAAGGAAATGCTTCCTGTTTATGCTGACAAACGTTTATCCCGTAAAGCATTGCATAACTAGGTTAAAAAAAAATTCTCAAGGGCACTATAATTGTTGATGAAGTCTGATCTGGTTGTCCTATTGAGACTGCAACAGACGCATCTGTGCAGCGGGTTTGAGGATATGGTTAGAGGTGACAGGCAAGTAACCGTTGACTCTATAGCAGCTTCAGTAGGGTGCTCACATGGTTCAGCATATAGCATATTGCGTGATTGATTGAAATTTAAGAAAGTGCTTAAGGTGGGTACCCAGACAATTGACAAACATAAATTGAACTGACTAGGCCTGTCCTTGCAGCATCTGTCTCGATATGCAGAAGAAGGAGAAGACATGCTGAACAGGATTATTTTGGGGGACGAATCATGGGTGCATCACTACCAGCCTGAATCAAAACGTGCTTCAGTGCAGTGGAAACATCCTTACTCGCCTGTGTTGAAAAAAAAATTCCAGGTTACGACATCAGCAAGGAAGGTTATGCTGACAGTGTTCTGTGATTGTCAAGGAGTGCTTTTAACCAATTTAAAAGCAAAAGAGGTGACAATATGAATGCTATTCATACTGTAAAATCTGTCTATGCAAAAGAATGCAATTTGAAGAGATAACACAGTTCTTTGCAGCAGGTTTTGGAGGACTGATAAAAAAACAAGTGCATTAGTGTTGGTGGAAATTATGTTGAAAAATAAAATGACAGTGTGTGTAAAAATAAATGGTTTTCAAATTAACATCTTTATTATTTTTTTTTTTTCACAAACATTATTTTTGTGACTTACATATTTAATTCCTCCTGTACTATCTAATATTTTCACTTTGTCTAATGCTCTAGTCTGTAAGTATACAGCAAAGACTTCATTTGTGAGGTTCATATCTTTAGTCGTACAGGACGTTGTAAAGTGTCTGCCATGGAAATGCATTTAAACACTGATTATACTCCTAATTAAACTACATTTATTATTGATACCATACAAATCTTTAGAGCGTCTGTTTTGTCAGTGTTTTAGTTTTACCCTTTCACCCTGGTAACCATGGGAACAGAACCAAAGATTCTAAAGAAAAAAGGGGCCTGTTCACATAACATGTCAGGAACACATTCTTAGAATGTTCTGCTATTCTGCCCTAAGAAACTTGAGGATGAGGAGATGATGATCTTGGAATTGCTGACTAGTTGTTGTTGTTGTTGTTTTTAAATCTAGGGGGTTAAAATCGGTGACCACTAAAAAAATGGGCAAGAGCGCAGGCAACTGCGAAACTGCAGCAATAAAGTCGCTAAACTAAATTCAAATTTAATACGTCCCCTTGGTGAAAAAAATTTGTTGTTGATAAAGCAGTGTTGAGCAAAAGGACTGCTGAGGGCAAACTATGATGATTTGAACTCTGCAAGACAACCTAACCTCGTAAACTGGGTACAACATTACCCGGTGTCATGAACTTGGTACCTAGGCTTTTTAATTCCAACATGCAGTGAGACAGAGAACTGTTTTTCTCTTTGCAGTGAAGTAGGAACTACAGTTAGCGGGTTACCTTGTCTGATACCATGTATATTATCTTTTTTCTGTGAAACTAATGTGTTATAAATTTGCTCTTTCATTTTTCAGATTGTTTTATGCAAATATCATTGTGTATTCCTCACTCAGTCGGGACAAGTGTACACATGTGGCCATGGGCCAGGTGGAAGATTAGGACATGGAGATCAACATACTATACTGGTATTTATTTTGTTATTAGAAAAAGTTTTTGCTTATATTTTACACATCATAAAATACAATATGTGTAGTAGCTGTCGACTGTCATCAGGTGCTTATAAAATTTTTTTATCTAAGTCTTTATTTCAGATTTTCTTGACTTATCACACATTAATATCCCATGCAATAGTTTTGAATTTGTTAGCGATTTACCTCAAATATTTTTAAGATTCCAATAGCTTCCTGTATTGTTTGTTTGTTAAATGTTATAGATAAATATTTCTTTTCACTGAAAAATACAGTTAGATTTACGTATTAAATTAAAACTAGTTAACTGAACTCTAAGTAACAGCAATAATTTCTTTTGCAGTATTCCAGTCGTACTTCTGAGGTATTGTTAACAGGTTAGTTGTCTATCCTTTACAGGACGTTGCAGAACCAACCCCAGCATTTTTTGGCTGTTGCGGTTTTTCTAGACAAATTTTATGTTCAGTAGTTTGCCATTTCTTTCTGGACGGTCAGCTATCAGTACTACTGTCGAAACAGTGCAAAACAAATCGTCCACACAGCTGGGATCAGATACAGTGCCCTGGCATTACGAAGCTCGTCTGCAATGCCTAAGCCGCAGATGCCGATTTTAGTTTGCGTTAAAGACCCTTCCAGTAAAGTGGATAACACAATCAATATTACAAATGGTTAGAGAACCATTAGGATTGTTGAAACAGTATGACAAACAACACGCAAATGGTTAAGGCAGACCTACCAGTGGTGGAAGTTAGTGGCGGAGCTTTGATGAGAACACACCCGATGACATATTTGGATGTGAAACTTGGTCGCAGTCTGTCCTTCAAAGACCACATTGACCATGTTGTACTGAAAGCCCGTAACGGCTTATCAGCAGTGAGGGTCCTGGCCACCGCCAACAACAAGCAGAGACTGCTTCTTCTTTTATGTTTCTAGGGACTGGTTCTTTCTCCAATAGAATTTGCTTTAGACATACTTACCATCAGCAGATTGAAAGACTGGAAGAGGTGCAAAAGGAAGCATATTATTCTGGGGTACACAAGAGACACCTCTTGCATAGCAGTGAGATATCTTCTTGACTTTCCAACAATGCACCATAAGATGAAGATCTGGAGGACTCTTAAGGAAAGAGGGCAGCAGGCTCAAAAGGGGCAAATCATGGCTCGGTAGGGCAAAGAGCGATATCATACATGTCTGCAGTCTTACAGACATCAACCTTGGTGAAAGAATGGATACTTGTGCCTCAGGTGCTCAACTTTTCCTGTGATGTCACGCTTGATAGGAGCTGACGGGGACAGAATCCAGCTGCTGACAATGCAGAGGTCCACGTGCTAATATGTGAAAATTCAGATGAGGCGGATGTACTGATTTACACAAATGGGTCCGTTGTACGAGGACAAAAAAGTGCATGGGCATTTACTGCCTGCTGTGCAGGCATAAGGTTCCAGGAGGCCAGTGGTGCCTTCTGTATGACTACTAGCAGCATGACAGATAAGGTGTTGGTGGTAACACAAGCTGTCATATGGCTAGCATTGCAGGGCTTTTCTCACATGTGTGTGTTTAGTGATTCCATGAGCGTGATCCGGCGAGTCGAGGCGTTCTTTGTACGCAGACAGTGGATTGAGTATTTGCAAAACTCTACTGTGTGTGAAGTTACCTTCATCTTTGTCCCAGGGCATACAGGTGTTGTTGGCAATGTAAGAGCCAACAGATTAGCCGGCTTTGCCTTAGTTACAGAGATCGGGCTCTTGGATCATGCAGATATTGTTGATGCCATTAAAGATGTAGGACAATCTGAGGATTTAAAGAATAGCACATCCACATCTAAGAGTGCAGAATGGGAGTAAAGATCTGCACAGCCAGGCATGAGAAGCACACCAGATGTGCAAGAAGTCTCGTCAGCCAACATAGGACTGGGACTGTTCAACTGCTGGGCACTGATGTATATGTTGAAGGGGGAATCTGAGCACCTGTGGACATGTCCGTAGTGCTGTAAAGATAACCCAGATCATAACACATAACTCAAACAGATTGTAGTAAAGGTAAAGTTGGAAGATGTGAACCAGTGTCATCGCACACAATTAAAAAACCATAAGTGCTCTGCCCCCAGTACGGACAGCTGATAAGAAACTGTCTGCCTGTGTCGCCATCCGCACTCAACTCTGTAGCTACAGCGACGTTCCTCCTTTATCAGATTATAGTGTATTTATTGACACTTTACAGTTTGTTTGTGATACTGTTTAAAAACAGTCTCAGTGTTATAGATCAGAATTAATGAGTAGAGAGAAAAGGATACTTTAGGTAACATAACAATCAACAGCTATAATTGGCACTGACACTGGCTTCCACTCCACGGTATACTGGATTTAAATACATAAACTACTGAATGTTGTTGTCTTTTCCTGATTCTCAGGTTCCTCGTTTGTTGGAGAGTGTGAAAGAGTTCACCTGCTTGGAAATTGCTGCTGCCACTGATCACACAGTAGTCAGAATGGAAGGGTATAACTGTTTTTTTTTCCTTCACACATATTTAGAAGTGTGTTTCTATGTTTGCTTACTGAAGGGTAATTAGAAGGGTGTGTCCATTTCCTTACTGACAGATAATTGAAAGAGTATGTCTGTGTTTCCTTTCTTAAAGGTAATTGGAAGAATATACCTGTGATTTCCTTTCTCAAAAGTGATTGAAAGGGTATGTCTGTGGTTTCCTTACTTAAAGGTATTTGGAAGGGTATGGCTTTGTTTTCTCATTTACAAATAATTGGAAAGGTATGGCTAAGTTTACTTATTTTCTCTTATTTGGAAGGATATATTTGTGTTTGCTTACTTACCGCTAACGGTAAGGCTGTGGCTTTGCTTTTCATTGACAATTAATTGGAAAGGGACAGGCTGTTTGTAATATGGAAGGATTTGACTATTTCCTTACTTAAAGTTAATGTGTCAAAGTCGAGCCTTTTTATCATTCTCTGGTGATAAGTCATGAGTGTACATAACTGGTGTGCTAAAGTTTGTCTACAGATGGGAGGCTTCAGGTCTTGCAATCCCTGTTGGGAGAGGTTAAGAGCTATATAATCAAGTATCCATAGTGAGGGTACTTCTATACTGAGTCTGGAGAGGATAGAGAGAGCTATGCAGTCAAGTCTGCATACTGATTATACCTCTCTACTGAGTGGGGAGAAGTTAATTAAGAAGAGCTATGCAGTCAAGTCTGCATTGTGATGATACATCTGGACTGAGTTGGGAAAGGTTAAGAAGAACTATGCAGTCAAGACCCCATAGTGATGTACTTCTGGACTGAGCAGGGAGAAAGATCTCTATACCAGTCTTTCCCATCTTAATGTTCTAGTGAAACAAATTGAAGGTGTTTGTGAGATCACAGTGATGATACATCTGGACTGAACTGGGAGAGGTTAAGAACTATGTAGTCAAGATCCCATATGAGGTACTTCTTTACTGAGCTGGGAGAAAGATCAATATACCAGTCTTTCCCATTTGATGGTCGCACGGAGCAAATTAATGAGTCTGTGATATCATTTACAAATAGACCCTGAACTTTAGAACACATTCCTTTTTGCTGTTCTTCTTATCATGTAGTGATTTCATGTAACATATAATGTTATGTTTTTCCCCAGTGGATCTGTGTTCACGTTTGGATTGAACCTGTATCATCAGTTAGGACAAACCCCTGTAGTAGAGAACAGTCCTTTGCCAAAGCAGGTGAGTCTCAGAAAGTGAAGGATGTGTTTCCAGATCTTGAGGTGTAATGGGCACATGGTGCTAACCCAGCGGTTCCCAACATTGTTTGAGTTGGGACCCCATTTTATAGGGGTAAAGGGAACGTGACTCAAAACATTAAAAATAGGTTTTTTTTAATAGGGTAAATAAAAACTCCCCAAAATGGATTTCTTCAGTATAGAATATAATTAATACAATTTTCTCTCTCATTTGCTTCTTAGCTCACCACTGCCTGACAACCCCATTTGGGGCTGAGAACATAACCCCATATTTTTTATAGACTAGTCAGCACTTGATGACTGAGGTAGTCAATATGCTGCCTGCTATTACTTTTACAAAATTCTCTGGTATTCATTTTTAGGCTGCAGCAATATAGGAACCTGGGTCAATTTGACTTAACCAGTTTAATTTTAAATGGGACATTTTTGGTCAAACCACCTGGGATGTTTTTCAAACCAAACTAGGTGATTTTCAAACCACCTAGCATGTTTTTCAAATCAAACTGGGTGTTTTTCAGATGTCCTGGGTGGTTTAAACAGTTGTCCTGTGTGATTTTAAAAACATCCCACATTTGAAAATCATCCAGTTTTCAGTTTGAGAAACATCCTTGATGGTTTGCAAATCATCTAGTTTGATTGGAAAAATGTCCTGTGGGGTTTGAAAATTGTCCACTTTGGTTTAAAAATTTCTATGTGGTTTTATAATCATCCACTTTGACACAAAAAATGTCCAGTTTAAAGGGAGAAAGGTATGAATGTTTTAGGGCTGGCAGACAAGTGTCTAGCTCATGCACCGCAGTTGAAGTATATTTATGTTCTTTCAACTTGTAGTGAGGAGTGCTATAGCTTCTAAAGATAATTTCAGTAATTAAACATTTGTTTTTATTATTTATATTATTTTGTCTTCTTTCTTTGTTTACTCTGAAAAAATATTTCACCGCCTTAAAAAAACATTTTTCTTTCTAAGATGCTGTTTCCCACCGAACTCAAAACTGCGGCTGTTATTTAAGTTTCTAATAATGTCCATCTATCAAAAGTTTCAAAATATTGACCCCATATTTGGTCTGCCACCAGGGAAATGTTGAAACATTGATTCTGAATCTGTCTGTCTGAAGAGCAGCTGGCCACTTTGTTCAGAATTCTGTGCTGCCACGCGGGAGACTCAGGTTTATATTCTCAGTAAGATTATGGATTTTTCCGTTAGGGGTAAGAAAATTAATCCTAACCTAGACAGTCAGGGGCGACTGCGCTTACCATGTGGCCCTAAAT